GTTATCATCTCCAAATCTGGTGGCCATATCGAAGGGAAAAAGCTGAAGCCACAAAGGGCGAGGACAAAGCCCATATAGGTGTGGAAGGAAGACTAGAAAATGGCTGAACAAAAACAGAGGAAAAGATGCACGGGAAGAGAAATAAAAAATAAGGAAATCACATGAAACGGAAAGGACAGAGGATTTGAAAAACCAGAGAGAGTGTGTGTGAGTTTTAACTTTTTTATTAGATATGATATGAGTAGTTGATTTTAATTTGGGTTATATTTAAGGGGTGAGATTAAATAACTTTTTAATAAATATCTTATCTTCATTGTTTTACCATAGAAGTTTTTTTGTTGCACAAATGGAACGGGTTCGTTATGATCTATAAAATGATATCGGTTCTAAATATATTTTGAGAAAAAAGTTTTGTACCAGCCATACCCTCGGTTACTACCCTAGTACCACTCGGTACCACCTACATTTTCACTCAAAATTTGAATTTTTTGGCTAGAAGTAACGAGTTCATCGTGATTTGGTGAATCTACAAATTTCGGAGGAAAAATATTTTAGGACCAAATATACCACCCAAGTATAGGGTGGTAACTAGTGGTAGACGATGATAAAATACGGTAAATGACAGTTAGTATATTTCTACTATCATGTATACAACCATTCTACACTATAGTACACTTCCAATACCACTGAGATATAATCTTATGTACTACCAAACATTACCACTATAGTACGGGATGACAATAAATATATTTTCTTTCTAAATTATATCATAATGAATGTCTTTTTGAAGAATACAATTAATATTATTTATATTTGAAAACATTATGAATTAAATTCAAATAGATATAGTCCATTAAAATTAATTGAAAAAAAGTTAGTTGTCTTTCATATGATCCTTAAAAGTAACAAAAATCAATAACTTAATTCAACAAACACAACTAAGTAAGCCTGTAAGCTTACTTGACCAATCTAATGGAATTACTCCTAACAACTAAATACATCCTGGATTATTTAAAGACTCAGCATGTGACAAATCACATTATTAGTAGTAACGAACATGATTATTTGAGTAGAAGTTATCTAGAGAAGAGCGTACTACGAGGGTCATTTCAACTATCCGGCATAACAATCAAACGAAAAATAGCTCAAATTTCATATCACAAAACGGATCCCCAACATTTTGAAAGAATTGGTAGGCAACGCCATTTGGTTTGATGGCTCTTAAAACGGTCATGAATGGTGTGAATGCAGCCTATTGGAAAGAGGATAATGAAAAGATTCTTAAGAGAAATGAAAGAGGAGAAAATATTGTTGGGTGACTGTCTCATTGCACTTTGCACAACCAAAATACTTGGAACTTTTATTCCAACACAATATCACCTAATGATAGTAAGAGGATGAGCCTGATCTTACAATTACAAACGACCTCCTTCAGCTCAACCTCCCTCATCTCTTCAGCAGCAACCAAAAAATCATTCCAAGACAAAAAAAGTAATATGATTATAAAATTTTGTTTTGCATCTGCACACGAAGAAAAATGAAATTTTGGAGGAAAAATTGTAGGCTCTTTCCCTTTTTTTATTTTATTTTTTATATTAGTACCGCGAGGATTGATAATCATATGCCGTATTAAGGCCAGCATCTGCTCCTGGGCTTGGGTTTGGGCCTCCTCCCTTCTTCTTATGAAACAACCAGCCCAATACTGGCCCGATCGACCGTCTTTTAGCTGCCGGTACGCTCTTCTTCCCGTAAGACGACGGCGTTGCTCCACGAGGCGATGATGCTGACCTCTGCCGCATCATATCCTCCCTAGCGACCATGACTTTGGCCAGCGACGGCGGGCTCGCAAACTTGACGTACCTCTTCTTCTCAAGTTCAAGCTCTTGTTCCTCATCGTTAAAGTTTGCCGCTGTCTCCATGAACTTGAGATCCTCCTCCTCAATCTCCGGATCTTGGCCACGTGGGCCCGCAGAAACGGACCATTGTTTGTCTTGGTGGTCGGCGTTGTACTTTTGTGTAGTCTTTATCTGGTTAAGCTCCTTCTTGGTTAGTTCCAGCTCCTGTCGTAGGGATTTGATTCGATACGCCATTAAGTTGCCTTCTTCCTTGGCCTTCATCAAGCTGAGCTTTGTCTCTTCCAGCTCGGCCTCAGCACGTGCCCTCCCGCTGCTACGCTTTTCATTCTCTGACTTAATCTTTATATACATGAAGTCAAGTGATGGTTAATGAGTGCTTAGGCTGAATAAAAAAAAATCGGAAACGAAATGTTCACGATAGGTACGTACTTCTTTGAGCTTGGTGGCGTAAATTTCGCCAGCTAGAACTCTCTCCCCGAACAACATGACAGCTTCCCGAACGGACTTGAACGGAGCTCGGGTGTCGATCTCGGCCCGACCCATTACCGACACGCCGCCTTCTTCTCTGCCGTCCATCAGTGGCTGAGCCTCCGTGTACGTACGGTGGTTGAAGTTGAAGTTGAAGTGATGATGATGGATGAAAGGCTTTTCTGATCATGTATTGGGTTGCCTAGATACGGTTTTTATATGAACGGAAAGGAAGTGTGATGTGTGTAATAAAAGTTAGTTATAGAAGTTGGTTAGCTATATGTCCAAAGGAAGGATGGTTGATAAATATTGGCTTTGGCGGGGTGTTTCTTCGCGTCCACTTCACTGGAGTAATTCGTTAATTGAGGTGGACATCTTAATGGTGGTTGGCCCATCCCACTCCCTCAATCCAATTCCGCCTTCCGCCAATCTTTACTTGTGATTTTGCTGTTCAATATATTTCTCGCTACTAGCTACCGTATGGGGCCAACCAGGGCCACTACCATCCGACTCAACTTCTTTTCCTTTTAATCATCATAAATTTTTTCAACCCTTATTTGATCAATGCTAAGGTTAGTGGTTGATGAAACGTGATATTTATCGTATATCCTCAACGAAGATTTTGTTAACCTTCACACCTGTTGTTTTTTAAGTGATGTTGTGTCTCATCCTAGGTAAACTTTGATGTAATAATATTCGACAATAACTCCAAATCTGAAAAGAAATTACTTAGCATTCAACTTATGACCTCAATAGAGATCGTTCAATTAATATGATCTAGAGTGAATATTTTAATATAAACCCTAGGAAAAATTATAAATTATTGCACACCTGATTACTCTTAATTTGAGAAACTGAAGGTAGAACATGAATATATGTTTTCACTTAATCATGATGAATAAGAAGTTTTTTAAAGAAAGAACTATTATTGCTTAGTAAAGTTTATATTCAAACCTTTTGCTATATAAGACAATTTTTATTTGATAGAAATATATATTAGAAATAATTCGACGAAAAAATACATTAGAAATAAGAGACTTGTTATTACAAAAAAATATAAATTCATATATATCATTTTCAAAGTCGATTGATAAAAATATTATTATATATGTGTGTACTTTTTTAATCATTTGTTTTCAATTTTTCTATTGTAATATTTTGTTTAATTGATACAAATATTATTAAATATGTGTACTTTTTTAATCATTTGTTTTCAATATTTTTATTTAATATTTTGTTTAATTGATACAGATATTATTATATATGTGTACTTTTTTAAGTTTTTGTCAAAATGTAAGTTATTATTAAGTTTTGGTGAAAATGAGTAAGAAAATTTACTTGATAAGATTTAATCATATACTTTTTATTTAAACAAATTCGATATAGTCACTCTCTATTTCAATCTTTATATTTTTTTAATTGACAAAAATATTATACTTTTGTGTGTTTGTTTAAATTCTCATAAAAATGTCATTTATTATTAATTTTTAGTAAAAATGAGTAGAAATATTAAAAGAAGAGAGAGATAGCTCCATAAATAGATCAATAATGAATTTTTTGTTTGCAAAAAAAGTTGTTCACCTTGGCAACTTGTGAATTCTCCAAGTGCTTATGTGGCAAGAAGTTACTTTTGAATTGCCATAATATATAGTATAGATAGATAGATATAGATAGATATAGATAGATAGATATTCACTACAAGTTGAAATTGGTCCTTGAAAGAAGCAGCAAGCAAACAACTTTCTTTCTTTATTTCTTTCTTCCATGCGAGCAAGTTCCACACCCTATGTACATTGGGACTTGAAATCTACACATTGGGGAATTCCGAATTCGGGTGAAGGGAAAGGGCGATGGTTGCTAAAGGCTTACATTGGCATCGCGGTAGTTGATTATGACTTGGCCGATGCTCAGATCTGGGAGATGTTCATTGTATTTGGTATGTGTTTTGAAAGAAAGAAAACGAACAAAGATTAAACAAAAAATGTGACCATCACTGCCAAATTAGAAAGCATAGGGGATAAGTATTAGGGGACGCCACTGTAATTTGTAGGGCTGGATTTTTGGTTAGATCTGTTATAATCGATAATCGAAATGTCGTTTACCGGTTAACCGCGACGCCAGCATTGTTTACCGCCAACCGCCCAACGGAAACCATCGGTTAGCCGGCAACCGACTGGTCGGTTACCGATTAGTTGCTCGGTTAACCGTGGTAACCGCAACGCATCGTGCAAATCGGTTTCGTCCATTTCAGCCCGTAGGGTGGAATGGAAACATAAATTTCAGGCAGTACAATGAAAAGGAAGGACCACTGTCCATTTCAAAGAAGCAGCAAGCAAACAACTTTCTTTCTTTATTTCTTTCTTCCATGCGAGCAAGTTCCACACCCTATGTACATTGGGACTTGAAATCTACACATTGGGGAATTCCGAATTCGGGTGAAGGGAAAGGGCGATGGTTGCTAAAGGCTTACATTGGCATCGCGGTAGTTGATTATGACTTGGCCGGTGCCTTCTTGGAGGATGACACGGGCGATGGAGCACTTCCGGGGGCCGGTGCAATTGATGGGTTGCGCGGCGAACCCGCCGGGGAGTCTGGTCTTCACCAGGTCCTTGAAAGGCTCGGAGTGGAGGAAACGACTCAGGGCAGAAGGCGCGGCCGCGCGGGTCCGGGAGGCAAATGGCGGAGAGCGGCGGCGTCGTGGAGGGAGATGACGGAGAGCTGCTGGCGTCGGGGAGGGAGATGGCGGCGTCGTCGGGAAGGCGGCAGGCGGCGGCGGCAGTGGAGAGTGAGGGCGGCGACAGGGAGAGTCAGGGAGTGAGGGAGGTCTCGACGTCTCGGCCTCGCGATGCAGAGGAATGGCAGATCGATTTAGGAATTAGGCGGATTAGGGTTAGGGACTTAGGGTGGGTGGAACGTGGAGCGGCGTCGTTTTTACTAGGTGATTGATGCGCCGGTTAGTCGGTTCAACCGGCGGTTATTATTGTCGGTTAGCTGGTTAACCGGCACCTCCAGCCCCGCTACCAACAACTGGTCGAGCCCTTTAATTTAGGTTAGTCGGTTAACCGGTAATTGCCGGTTATTGGTTTAACCGGACGGTTAACCGGCAACTGATAACCAAACCTCCAGCCCTAGTAATTTGTCTGAGGAAATATGAGTTTAAGTAGTATAAGGGACAAACATGTATAGTTGTCCCCATAAAATAAGAAAACCATTTTATATTAATATCAATTTTTTTTTAGTTGTCCCCTAAAATAAGTTCGGAACTAGCAGCGTTCATATTTAACCAGTTAGTGGAAACTATTTTTTGGGTAAATAGAAAATTACTTTTGGGAATTACATTTTTTAAAATATTTCTTTCTAGACAATTTTTGTAATATCATCATTGATTTTTTTATGAATATCCTTTCAATATTTTCTTTATTTATTGCTTTTTTTATTTGCTTTGTGTATCGTTTAGATTGACCATTGAATTCATTAATAGTATCATTTCAAATATTTTCTTCTATTTTTTTCCTTTTCCACCTAGGAATTCACAAGCTGGTAGATGGAAATCACTAATTTTATTTTTCATTTTTGTAATTTAGTGAGGTATAATAATTAGTAGTAATTTTGCAAGATATGTCAATGTTTTAAAAAAATTGTCCGAAGAAGAGTCTCTAACCAATATGTTGCTACTTTCTTTTTTATTTTTGGATTAAAGTTGCTACCTTCTATTGCTTGGTCGAAGAGGTTGAGGAAAAATTGTGCTCAAATTGGGAGCACACTAGACTAGTTGTTCCTACAGGCTAGATAGGTCACGGTTTATCATCCTAAAAACACCGCTTAATGGACATATACATAGGTAACTACTAGCCAGCTCGAAAGATAGAGGCTAATGGACAATCGGTCGTCCCTGCAAGTTACATAGAATACAATTAGTTGTCTTTGAAAATAAAGGCTAGGAGACAACTGGTCGTCCCTACAAGTTACATAGAAGGCAATCAGCTGACTCTAAAAATAAAGACTTAGGGACGATTGGTTGTCCCTATAAGTTACAAAGGAGGCAACTTCTCATCTCCGTATATTAGAATATAGGACCATAATTTAAACTTACAGCAAGATAGATGATTAGAATGTAAATAGCCATATGATTAGTTAGAGTTAGTTACAAGATTAGACTATAAATACATCTACTTTACTTTATCACTGTACGTTTTTTCTCCATTCATTCACTCTGAATACAGACAAATTCTCTATAATCAAAGATTCTAACATGGTATCAGATTTCCTCTAAGCCGCATCACTCGCTTTCTCGCTTCCGCAGACTCATCTCCTTCCAATTTCTTTGCAAAAAGCTTTCTTCGCATCCTACAATGGTGACGAATTCTTTTGTTCGTCCTGGCTTTGAAGCCAAAAATCCTCACATGGAGGTCGCCAGCACGGATCTGGTGGAATTTCTTACCTCAGCATTGCAATTTCTGATACAACATCTCCATTCTTTATTCATCCTTCGGAGAATTGGGGCCAATGCCTGGTATCGTAGCCGCTGACTGAGAATAACTTCTCCAGCTGGGAGAGATCGATGATTCTAATCATCGATGGCGAGAACAAGCTAGGGTTCTTGAACGACAAGATTCTGAAGCCACCAGATGATTCCCCTCTTCTTGAGCCCTGGAATCGAAATAACAAGCTTCTGCTCAGTGGGATTCAACGGTCCATTAATCCTACAATTCCCGAGAGCATTCTCTATGTCACAACAGCCATTGGTGCTTGGAATGAACTCCGCGAGCAATTTTCTCAAGGAGATTCATTCAGGATCGCTGATTTGCAAAAGGCAATCTTCCAGCTCAAACAAGGTACTCTTAGCGTCTCTCAGTACTACTTGAAGCAACGAGCACTATGGGATCAATTGGCTAATATTAGATCTATCCCTGATTGTGAATGTGGAGCTGTTTGCCGTTGTAGTCTTGCATCTCTTAGAAAATATCACATGAATGATAAGGTGATTAGGTTCTTGAGGAACTTGAATGATAGTTTCAATGTTCCAATGTCAACAGTCATGTTACCTGATCTGTTGCCGCCTATCAACAAGGTTTTTGCTATGATGGTTCAGTACTACTCGAAGCAACGAGCACTATGGGATCAATTGGCTAATTTTAGATCTATCCCTGATTGTGAATGTGGAGCTGTTTGCCGTTGTAGTCTTGCATCTCTTAGAAAATATCACATGAATGATAAGGTGATTAGGTTCTTGAGGAACTTGAATGATAGTTTCAATGCTCCAATGCCAACAGTCATGTTACCTGATCTGTTGCCGCCTATCAACAAGGTTTTTGCTATGATGGTTCAGCACGAACTGAGAACAATTTACTGCCTAAAACTAGTTCCCAACATCCTCCTAATCCTGCTGCAGACAGCATGACATTGGCTACCAGAGTTGCTTGTACTAATCTGGGGGTTCAGGGAGTAGGGCAGGGTTTTAAGAAGCAAGGTAAAAAGCCAGTTTGCACATTTTGTGGTTAGACTGGGCATACCGAGGACATTTGCTTAAAGAAAAATGGCTATCCACCAGGTTATCAGCCTAAGAAGAAGAATCCACCTAGACAAGCTAATAATGTCACTGTTGAACACGATGAATCTTCATCAAATGGTGCAGTCATGGTTAACTCTGCTGATTGGATCTCTTTCGAAAAGCAATACCAGAAAATGATGCAGATCATGTAGCCTTTTTCTCAACAAGGTGCTCCTGCAGCCTCACAGCAGCTGGCTCCACCATCTCCTAGCTTTGCAGATGTTTTCATGGGCAATCAAGCATCTCATCCATCTCACTCTATTGAGAATGATGGCTCTGGTTCTCACCAAATCATCAGTAGGTCCAACTCTGTGGCCTCTCATATTACTACAGATCCTGCAACTCATGGTAAATATAGTCTGGCTCTTTCTGCTACATTTACACTTACTAACAAGTGGATTATAGACACAGGAGAAACTGACCATATTGTGTGTTCTTTAGATTCTTTTAGCGCTTACAAAGAAGTGTCTAACACTTTAGTTCACTTACCTAATGGTGACAAAGTAGCTGTCACTGCCATTGGCACATTTCATCTCTCTGAGTCTCTTATTCTTAGAAATGCTTTATTTGTGCCTACCTTCACATTTAATTTGGTCTCTGTTAGCCAATTAATTAAGAATTCAACCATCTGTTTATGGTTCCATTCCTCTTTCTGTCTCATCCAGGAGCTCCCTTCCCTGGAAACGAATGGTACAGCTAGCTTAGTGGAAGGGTTGTACATTCTGCACTCTCCCCAACAGACATCTCACTTACAACTCTCATCTATCCCTTCTCAATCTACTCAAACACACTTTGTAGCAGTCTTTTCTAGAGCAAAACAGCAGTTCAACATCTGACATTATAGACTTGGTCATCTTCCTCACACAAAACTGTTATCCTTACATCTTAGTAATCCATCTGTATCCAGTATTGATAATTCTCACTGTCCTGTTTGCCCTCTAGCAAAACAAAATAGATTACATTTCCCTACAAGTAAAAGTACCTCTGTAACTCCTTTTCAGTTCTTACATATTGACATCTAGGGTAATGCCCCTTCTAAATCATTGAATGGTCATTCCTACTTTCTTACAATAGTTGATGACTATTCCAGACACACTTGGATTTTCTTAATGAAGCATAAATCTAAGGCCAAAAACATCATCATCACTTTTTTTTAGTATGTTTCAATCCACTTTAATTCCAAAATTAAGAATATTAGGACTAATAATGGTCTACAGTTTCAGATTCCAGAATTTTATACCTCCAAAGGTATTTTTCATTAGACTACCAGTGTGTATACCTCTCAACAAAATGGCATTGTTGAGGAAAAACATAAACACATCCTAGCAGTAACCAGATCTCTTCTTTTTCAGGCTCATTTACCTTCCCACTTCTGGCATTTTGCTGCTATGCATGCTGTTCATTTGATAAACACATCTCCAGCACCTTTACTTGATAATTCTACTCCATATGAAAAGCTACATGGTCAACTAGCTAACCTTAGTCATCTTAAGGTGTTTGGTTGTCTCACTTATGCATCAACCATCCAATCTCTTAGAACCAAGTTAGATCCTCGAGCAATACCTAGTGTTTTTCTAGGTTATCCTCATGGCACTAAAGGATACAGACTATACAATCTAAATACACATGCCATTTTTATATCTAGAGATGTTGTGTTTCATGAAGACATCTTCCCTTTTTATAAAGACAACAAGGTCACTCCTTCAGTTCTTTTAATTGTCTTTCCAGAATCACTTCCATTAACAAATCCTGTTTCTATACACACTAATGCTAGACCAACATCCCCTACTACCACTGTTCCATCAAGTACAGTTTCTCCTACCACTGTACTTTCTTCTTCTCCTATTGCAGATCATCCACTTAGTACAGTTCCTTCAACAACTATACCTTTTCCTACTCCTGTTATCTCTCAACCACTTCCCTTAAGGAGATCAACTCGACAAATCATTAAACCTGCAAAATTAAAGGATTACAAATGTAATCTAATTGGCACAACTACCAATACAGATTCCACCATAGTACATCCTATCTAGGATATTCTGACTTATAGTAGTCTAAGCCCCAATCACAAGAAATTTGCACTTGCCATTGGTCTTCTTAGAGAACCAACTTCTTTCAAAGAATCTACTCAATATGAAGAATGGTTAAAGGCAGTTCAGTCTGAACTAGCATCTCTTCTCAAGACTAAGACTTGGGTCTTAGTCGATCCTCCTCCCAACAAACTAATTATTGGTAACAAATGGGTTTTATAATCAAGTACCTCTCTGATGGCAGCCTTGATAAATTCAAAGCTAGATTAGTGTCAAAAGGATACACTCAAACTCCTGGGGTTGACTCTTTAGACACTTTTTTCATGTAGTTAAAATGTCTACTGTTCGCATTTTACTTGCATTAG